TCAATAATTTTTCTTGTACTAGCAAATAGCAATGGAGAGCAATAATAAAAGAGTTTAAATAGGCAACAGTAGTAGTAGTAAACATTAATGTCAAACAGCGATGTGGTGTTACAAAGATTTGACAGAGAGAGAGTATAATTAAGTTGAAGGTGTAAAATAAATAATCAAAGGAAAGGTATAGGTAATGAACGGCGAGAGTAGGTGTGGTGGAGAGACAAAAAGCAGAAGGCAAGAGCGGTGGTGAGAGCCATCGCAGCAGAGTTAACTGCTTCTAAAATGGCATCGAAACGGCGCTCGTGGAGACCCCAAAGCGTACTCACGCAGTGCACAAAACCATCCACCACCGTTGCTAAGAATATCGCCATCACTCTCTCTCTCTCTCTCTCACGATTCTAAAACAGAGATGAGAGACAAACGCAGATGACCTAGTAACCAAAACGAAATACACACACAGGACAACAACTCTAGTCTATAATTGCAATTTGGAAGTTTATTGAGCATACCCATACCCCACCCACCTCTTTCAATCTCATTTATTATCTAAGTTGCTTGGTCCCCGCCATTAATCATGGTGTTTCGCAACTTGCATATGTGAAGTGATTTGAGAAGGTAGTTAAATTTTTTGATTTTTTTAATATATTTTTGTCTTTTTATGTGTAAAAAATGTGAGAAGTGATGTGATATAAAATGAGTTAAAAGCTAAAAGTTAGTTTTTTGGATTGTCAAATTGTCCCATAATAAATAGTTGTTGGCGTTCACCAAAACAAAAAAAAAAACAATACACATAGGCCTCGTTTGGAACAGGTTATTTTAGTAATTTTTTACGAAAAGATTTATAAAAAAGTAGAGAGAGTGATATAAGAGCATCTTCAACGATTCATCAAAAACTTCATCAAATCTGAGTAAAAAATAAATAAATTCTTCAATCTGATATCAATCGCTCCAACAGTTTTTTATCAAAACACACTGGACGTCCGGTGGGACGATCGATTGATCGGAAAAAGGAAAACGAATTTTGTTTTTCCAAGCTGACGTGAAATTTGCACAAAATCTTGAGGGGTCATCCAGGGGGTCGACCTGTGGATTGACCGGTGGGTTGACCTCCCAGTGTAAAATCTGCACAAAATCTTACTTCAGGTGGTCATCCGGAAATATATCTGGTGGGACATTTGGTAGTGAAAATACAACGGTAATGAACAGTGTTTTGCTGAAAAGCTCACAACATCCTCAATCTGGTGAAAAATTTGGGTCATTCTCAATTTGATATCATTTTGATGAAACCGTTGGAGACAAAAAAGTTGCCATTTTTTCACCAATTTCAAATTTGATGATGAATCTGATGAACTATTGGAGATGGTCTAACAACTTGGGAGTGGTTTGGGATGTTTTAAATAAGTGCATTTTTTAATTTTTTATAAAAAAAATATATAGAAAAGTAGAGAAAGTGGATAGAAAAGTAGAGAGGAGATGTTGATAAATATTGATTGAGGTGACTTAAATATGTGTATGTATGCAAAAAAAAAAATATATACTTTTTTTAGTGCATGCCAAGCAAGCACTTATAGTGATTTTTTGATTTTTAGACTAAAACAGAAAGTTGCCAAACGAAACCTTAATGCGTGTGTAAGTTAAATAAATAAATAAATATTTATTATATATTATATGTAACTCAAATGATAAAAGTCTAATTTATTAAATTTGTAATCTTAAGTTCAAGTTACACCCTTCTTTGTTGTTTTGTTTTGTTTTTTTTTTTTTGGGCAAATTACAAAAAAAAAAAAATCCTAAGATTTTGCATGTTTTTCAAATTAAACTCAAGAATTTCAATTTCATATGTGTCACAATTTTATGCCCTTCGTCCTGAACTTATTTTTTTTAACATGTCATTCTCTTGTTATTTCAAAATTAATGTAAAATAAAAATTATTTTTACCATGAACATATTACAGAGGATCAAACCTCCTTATTTCTCAAACTTCACTTTCAGCCATTCATTCTCCAATACTGCCCCTTTTCCCAACCGCCCCCTTTCCCAGCGACCTCACCAAAATCCCCATTTCCCCACCACCCCTAAATCCTTTCACAGCCACCGGAGAACACACTCATTCCCATATCACCACTGCAACTTGCTGTACAAAATTATGGCAACCCCACCACCGTCATGGTCCGAAACGTCCCCACCAAGTACATTCATTCCTTTGGCGACATCATTCCTTTCTGAAATCGATCATTCCTCATCATCAACTTCCCTACTATGAAAGCTTCGGTAGAGATCAAGCAAAGAGGTTCAAAGGTTTGTCTCAGATTGAGAAGGTCAAAGGCAGTCCGCCACTCCCCTGCTCTTGGATCCGAACCCCCTCTCTCTTCTTCTTCCTTTCTCACTCCCCTCATATTGTCTATCTCTCTCTCTCTATCTATCTCTTTCTCTCTCTCACTCTCTCTCCTTAACTCTTATCGTTCGAAGCAACATCACCGTTCTCCACTCTACCATCGCCACCTCAATTTTAGATCTGAGCGAATCCTAGCATTCGCTATCGGAAGGCCGCTGTCGAAACCCTAGCCTCTATAAGAAGGATTTGTTCTTCAGATCTACACATTTCGAAGATAGATCTAGATATTTCGCCATCGGAAGGCCGCTGTCAAAACCCTAGTCTCTGTAAGAAAGATGTGTTTTTCAGATCTCTCTGAACTCGGATCTGCACATTTTGAAGACAGATCTAGATATTTCAAAAATGGATTTAGAGCTCTCTTTTCTCTTTTCTTCTTGAGGTTATGGTGATGATGATGATGATAATGATGATGAAGCTGTTTTTAATCTGTTTAAAAATATGTTTTGTGTTTTTTTATTTAGAGGTTGGTTTGGCTTGGTATTGCAACAAACAAAAACATTAGGTTCAGTTTGGTTGTGCTTTGTAATCAAGTTGGAGCATGATGTTTGGTTTCGTTTTCAAATCAATTTTCTACACTCTGTAGAGAGAACTCTGATGCACAGGCGTCTTTTTTGTCCACCCGGTAGACCACCCGGATGTCCGGCTGATTTTTTTTTTTTTTTTTTTTTTTGCAATTGATTTGCATAATCGGGACAAATATTTTCTGAAAATTTTTAATTTTTTATGTGCTTTAAAATAATTTTGAGTTGTATGTTTAGTTATGAGTTGTAAATTTTTGTATCACATAGCAAATGTCACATCAATAATTTCCCATTCAAATCAAACTTCTTTTCTAAAACTATTTTCAAAACTCTTTACCAAACAAATTTTTTACACTCAAATCATAATTTCACAACACGTAAACTCAAAATACAACTCATACTCTCAAATCACATTTACAAAACACAACCAAACGCTACCATAAAATTTGTTGTTCTGTTGATCAGATGATGATGATGAAATCGACGAAATCGATGAAATCAAAGATTTGGGGCCTTTTATATGGGGCTAATAAAAAATGACGTTTTAGGTAGGTTTTGGCGCAAAAAATTGGCTTTCTTCGTTATTTCATGAAATAGAGATGGAAGAGGGGCTTACATCGTGACATGGAATAAACTCCAGGATTTTAATTGCAAAACACACAAAACTTTGGGGTTTTTTTGTAATTTGCCTTTTTTTTTTTTTTTTTTTGGGTGAAAACAAAAATTGGCTACTTGACATAAAAGAAAAAAGGGTAAATTACATTTACCTCCCCTGAGGTTTCTGACAAATACAGAGACCTCCCCTGTGGTTTGAATAATTACAGTAACCTCCACTGCTTTACCTGACAATATCAAGATTCCCACTGCTGTCAAAAATCACTAAACGATGTTACTTTTTCCTTAGGAAATTACCTTATTGCCCATCTCTTGAAAATATTAAAAAATGTTTTTGGATTGGAGGATAGGTTTGGAGTGTTTGGAACAGTATTTTTGGATTTATTTTTTTAAAATATAAAATAATGTTTAAGAAAATTTTATTTTTTATTTTAAATATATAATTGTTATTTAAATATTTTTTAATTTTAAATACTTTATTTTATTTTGCAAATATTTTAATTTTTTAATATTTTAAACTCAAATCGTATCCAAACACATAATTCTAAACTCAATTCAAAAGTTATTTTTAAAAATCACAATCAAAACATATCTCAAAATTCAATTCAAAAGCTATTTTTAAAATTCATAACCAAACACAAACTCAAAGCTTATAATCGAACTCTTTTCAAAATTCTATTAAAAAAAATTCAAAAAAAAACTTTTTGCTTTGTTCTTTAAAATTATTTTTTATTATATATTTTTTTTCAAAAAATAATTTTTGTTATTTTTTTAAATATTGGCCAAATAATTTGTTATGATTTAGATACATATGGCAATCTAATTTTTTTTTAAATATTTAAAAAAATTAAAATATTAAAAATATGTTTATAAAATAAAATAAAGTATTGAAAATAAAAAATATAATTTTATAAATTTTTAAATATTTACAAAATATTTTTTTTAAAAAAAAAATACAACACACAAATGTATAAAATACAGTGCACATTAAATAAATATTTAAAATATAAAATATTTACCCTAAAAATACAAAATTAAGAAAAATTTTAAATATTTTAAAAAATATTTTTTTGATTTTTTTTTAAATAGAGTTTTGAAAAGAGTTTTGTTTTGAATTTTAAAAAGAGTTTTAAATTGAGGTTTAAGTTGTGTGTTTGATTATAAGTTTTGAAAATAATTTTTAAATTGAGTTTTGACTAATTTTAAGTTATGTGGTTAGTTATAAATTTTGATTTTTTTTTATTAGAATCACAATTCTAAAACTAAACCAAATACAGACTTAAATTTCTTCCTTGTATTTATTATCATCTTTTATTTTGAAAAATTTGGACTACAGTCCAATAATCTTCAAAAAAAAGAGAGTTGAAGCAAGTTAAGCAACCTTCAAAGCCAACATTATTACAAAGGGCAACATTGACACGAAACTTTCCCACACCCCCCCCTCTCTCTCTCTCTCTCTCTCTCTCTCTCTCTCTCTCTCTCTCTCTCTCTTCCTCTTCCTCTCCGCCACTCCTCTCCCCTCCCTTGCGGTCGCCAACAACCGGAACACCGATTCACCTCGTTGTTGGTCACTGTCGCCTGAGATCCATCACCCAAGGAAGCTCGATCGGTGGCTCCTCACTCGCAGCTCCTCGAATTGCAAGGTTTTTATCTTTCTCTCTCTAATCCAGATACTGTGTGTGTGTTCATTGATGGCTTCTTATTGATTACTTGAAAGCTTCATTTCTGATTTGTTTTGTGCTTTAATAATACAGTCATTTTTCTATCTTTCTTTTCTTTATTCTTTTTTTTTTCCCACAATTTTTATCTCTTCACAGTACAAGCGAAATAGAGGCTACTAGACTTCGCCTGCCCTCGATCGCCTTCTCTCTTATTCTTCTCTTGGATGCCACCACCACTTACATGCTAGGTCTCTCTCTCTCTTTCTCTCTCTCTATGTATATATCTATCTCTCTACCTATCTATGTATCTATCTATCTGTATATATATATTTACTGTTTATTTGGTAAAACTGATACAGATTAAGTTCGTGATTTACTACAATTTCAAGATATTTCATTGGGTTTTTTTTTTTTTTTTAAGCTGCAATTTAACTTTGTTAATGAGAAATCAAGATAACCCTGTTCTTGGTGGGTCTCTTATATAATGATTATACATAATATTATTTATCTCAATTGTAGCAATTCGTAGTTTCATTTAATTGTGATTCAACCATATGCTACTAAATTACATGTTAAATGAGTAGCTCTTTTTTATGGTTTGTTAGTGATCTAATAAATAGAAGTTTCAACCCTGACTATGGTAATTTAACTAACTTCATTTATTTATTTTTCTTTCTATTGATCAGGTATAGTTTGATCTTCCTTCATTCTGTCAAGTTTACGATACCAAATTGGGTTTAACTTAACATGGTGTTCAGTGCCGAGCTTATCTTAGAATCATATTTGATTTATTCTCCTCCTTAATTGGTTAAGCAAGAACCCATCTGCTATTGAGTTTTGCTTTGTGGAATCTATAATGGGCTTGTTGTAATCAATTTTGATTGCAGTTACTATTATGCTAGAGACACATTCATTTGTAACTGAAATGACTAGCTTCTTGCATGGATTGATATTTGAATAAAATTTCAATCATAAATCACATATGATTACTTTAATTTGTTGAAATTAGAAATGAAATTAAGCTCTACTTAACCATTTTATTCTTAGTAGTAATGTTCTGACAATCTTATTCTCTCCCTTTGGATTTAATCCTACCTGCTGTGATATGGAGAATTAATTTGGTGATTTTAACAATTTTTGAATAAAAAACTGATAGTAGTCTCTCTCTCTCTCTCTCTCTCTCTCTCTCTCTGATGTTGGACCCAAAAATTGAATGAAATATTATGTTGCCTTTCTTAACTCTGGCTCCTGGACCTGAAATGGGTTTTTAGTCATGTAGGAAGTCAAAAACAAGCACGAAATTCTGACCAACTTATATACATCAACTTTCGAATGTGGAAGAAAAATTTTTGAGAGCGCAATTGCTGTGATCCTTGTTTTCATTCAAATTGCATCTCCTTATCCCTCTAGTCCATTTGTAGAGTTATGTGAACTGTGTAATTTCCAATTGCTACTATGTTATATTTTGTTCTACTCACCATATTCTGGTGAGGTAACATGATTAATTAAAAATAATGTTGGTAATTGTTTGTAATATTCTTTTTAGTTTTATGTTGTTTTTTCTTTAAATCCCACATAATATTAACAATAAGGCTATTTTTTTTTGTTGTTCCATATTGCTTGGTAATGATGGTTTATACAGAACCTCAGTTTGTAGATTCTGTTTGTGATATAGGAGTTCCATCTTTCTAGCATACATGTTTAAAATTGCTAAAGGACATGTTTATGCCTTGTATTGTGTGGCAAAGTGATGCATTCCTATTTCATAGGCTTGTCAGTTTTTCTGTTATTGACTTGGCATTTTTTTTCCTTTTTTGGAGTATAGTTGATCCAACTTATCTATGTTTGTCTGTTCTTTTGATTATTCTTTGTCTTTTACACAAATCAGTTGAAATAATATTTCTAATTCTTTATTTGTCCCGTCTTTTTTTCTTCTTCTTTTCTCACTCATCTCTCTCTCTCTCTCTCTCTCTCTCTCTCTCTCTCTCCCCTTACATTTTCAGATTGCAATGGATGAAAAGGAATCCATCTTGAGCAGTGTACCAGCTAATTTAGGGAAAAGGGTTCGGAGTTGCATGCATCTCTTATAGATGGGAAGGTACTATGGAAGAAAGAGAATTAGCACCTTTAGATGAAAAAAGGCCAATAGCTTGAATGTTAAATCCACTTTGATTTCCTGAACACAGAGAAACTCACTTCATTATCCAGCTTTAGTTTTTTATTTTAGATAAGTAGTTCCTTGAATGATTTCAGTTACATCCATGGTGTTTGCAACATAAGGATTTGGGGATAAATTGTTGATGACACTACCAAAATTCAAAGTGATGAGAAATGAATCTCTGTTGTACTTTAGGGAGCCACTATATGGGAAAGAGGCTTAATGGACCGACCTTGATTTGTCATGTAATTAAGGTCATGTAATTCAAGTCCTTAAAGCATATAGCTTATCATTTTTATTTTATTTTTTATTTTTTTAATAGATTGCTTTTGCATGGGCTATTCTGGATATTTATTTTTGTGTACTAAAACAATTTTGTTCTGTATATGGAAGACATTTATTTTTCTACAACCCTCTGCTTTGGAAATCCAGTGTTTTTGTATGTGATATTTAATTCAGATGGATTATACTTGGTTGGTGTGGATTTATATGATATTTGGAATATGATGTTACAAGTTAAAGTTTTTGGATAGTTGATAATGAAATGGGTATTACTGATAATGGATTTAGTGCTCGTTTAGCTAACAATTTGGGACTAAAAAAAGCATAAAAAGACAAAATAAGCTATATAAACTAATAAGACAAAATACCACTTTTTACCCATAATCATTACACTTTTTCTCTCACAAAAGTCAAAAAAGTCCCAAAACAAAAACCAAATGAGGCTAAAAAAGTCCCAAGCTAAAAAAGTTGGCTATATTAGCCAATGCCAAACGATACCTAATATGTATAGGTTACAGGTTCCATTGATAATGAAATGCATATAATTCAAAATTTAATGAAAAATATTCAATTCAGTAATGATTCAAACCCCCACAAAATATCACCCCCACAACCCCCACTCACTTGTGATTGGTCCAAGTAAGAAAGGCAAAGTGATGCATGCCTATTTCATAGGCTTGTCAGTTTTTCTGTTATTGACTTGGCATTTTTTTTTTCCTTTTTTGGAGTATAGTTGATCCAACTTATCTACGTTTGTTTGTTCTTTTGATTATTCTTTGTCTTTTACACAAATCAGTTGAAATAATATTTCCAATTCTTTATTTGTCCCGTCTTTTTTTCTTCTTCTTTTCTCACTCATCTCTCTCTCTCTCTCTCCCCTTACATTTTCAGATTGCAATGGATGAAAAGGAATCCATCTTGAGTAGTGTACCAGCTGATTTTAGGGAAAAGGGTTCGAAGTTGCATGCATCTCTTATAGATGGGAAGGTACTATGGAAGAAAGAGAATTAGCACCTTTAGATGAAAAAGGCCAATAGCTTGAATGTTAAATCCACTTTGATTTCCTGAACACAGAGAAACTCACTTCATTATCCAGCTTTAGTTTTTTATTTTAGATAAGTAGTTCCTTGAATAATTTCAGTTACATCCATGGTGTTTGCAACATAAGGATTTGGGGATAAATTGTTGATGACACTACCAAAATTCAAAGTGATGAGAAATGAATCTTTGTTGTACTTTAGGGAGCCACGATATGGGAAAGAGGCTTAATGGACCGACCTTGATTTGCCATGTAATTAAGGTCATGTAATTCAAGTCCTTAAAGCATATAGCTTATCATTTTTATTTTATTTTTTATTTTTTTAACAGATTGCTTTTGCGTGGGCTATTGTGGATATTTATTTTTGTGTACTAAAACAATTTTGTTCTGTATATGGAAGACATTTATTTTTCTACAACCCTCTGCTTTGGAAATCCAGTGTTTTTGTATGTGATATTTAATTTAGATGGATTATACTTGGTTGGTGTGGATTTATATGATATTTGGAATATGATGTTACAAGTTAAAGTTTTTGGATAGTTGATAATGAAATGGGTATTATTGATAATGGATTTAGTGCTCGTTTGGCTAACAATTTGGGACTAAAAAAAGCATAAAAAGACAAAATAAGCTATATAAACTAATAAGACATATACCACTTTTTACCCATAATCATTACAGTTTTTCTCTTACAAAAGTCAAAAAAGTCCCAAAACAAAAACCAAATGAGGCTAAAAAAGTCCCAAGCTAAAAAAGTTGGGTATATTAGTCAATGCCAAACGATACCTAATATGTATAGGTTACAGGTTCCATTGATAATGAAATGCATATAATTCAAAATTTAATGAAAAATATTCAATTCAGTAATGATTCAAACCCCCACAAAATATCACCCCCACAACCCCCACTCACTTGTGATTGGTCCAAGTAAGAAAGAGAAAAAAAAAAAAAAACACAATACAAACACACCATTGGTCCACATCACTGTGGAGGTGGTGGGGTCTCCACAAAAGGGGGTCCCAAACATTTTCCTATTCAATTTATGCATTTTAAAAAAATTAATAAATAGAGCTTTTGACTACTAAACATTTAGTAGCCAAAAAATAAAAAGGGAACTTATTGGTGACTAAATGGTTAGTAGCGGAAAAAAAAAAAGTTTTTCGCGACTAAAAAATTAGTAGTTGACAAGGAGCACCATGATTTTAGCGACCAAAAAAATGGTAGCCAAAATGGAGTGCCACGTTTTTAGTGATTTAATATTTTAGTCCCTAAAACTAAAAACAAAAAAACACATTTATTGAAAACTTTGGGTGACTAAATTTTTAGTCATCAATTGGCGACTTTCGGCGTCTAAAAAAATTAGTCGCCAATACCTTTCCTTTTGCCGACTAATTGTTTAGTCACCAATTTAGGACTTTCGACGACTAAATATTTTTTAGTCGACAATACCTTCCCTGACAATCTTCCCGTGACCAAGCCGGCGACCAAACTATTTAGTCAAGAAAACTTTTTGGCGACTAAAATTTGACTTTTGGCGACTAAAAATTTAATAGCCAAAAGTGCAATTTCTTGTAGTGATCCTTTTTATTAGCATTTACTTGTGGCATCTGATTGTATACTTTATGAGTAATGTTAGAAATTTTAAAAGTTTTACTAAATTTTTTACTAAATGTCTCACATGAGTGTGAAACTTACATATGTAAATCCCGCACTCATGTAAGACATTTGATAAAAAAATTTGGTAAAACTTTTAAGTCTAACATTTTTGATCTTTATTTGGGAAATTGAGTAAGGCTGCAAGATAACCTTGTATAGTATTTTGGCATAAATAAGAACTATCCATGGGACAAAGTAACCATTAATAATACAAAAATGCTAGAGATTCTAAAAGTTCTACCAAATGTCTCACATGACTTTTGGAATCTCTAATATTACTCTTAATAATACTATACACACTTGCTAGAAATATCAATGTATGACTTCTAATATTTTAAATATGCACCCAACACTATAATTCAACCATACAAGTTTTGAATTAAAATGTAGAATACTTTTACAAGTTTATATGATTATTATTCATTATCAAGTTGATAAATGCTTTGTTTTGCTTTGGGCAGGCATTGCTTTTCGAAGAACCCATTTGCTTTTTCTCTTTTGAACCGAAAAAAAGTGAAAACAGAAAATATTTTCAATTGATTCTTTCCCCCCTTCAGAATATATTTTTTGTATTGTTTAGTTACAATCTTGAAACTAATGTACTAATGGTGATGTCAGTTCAAAAAATTTTGAACTTAAAAATTTGTGCCTCACTTGATCATTAGTTAAAAAAATATTTTCTACCTTTAAAAGTAAAAAACATTTTCCATCCCTATAAGTTTGTTTTCATTATACCAAACATTAAAAAATACAAAAAATATTTTCTGCCAAGATAAAAACAGACCAAAATAGAAAAGTTTTACCAACTACCACTACAAAAATTTTAGTTTTTTGGAACGGCAAAATGCCGTCGCTAATACTCCTAATGCCGTCTCAAAAAACTTTTAGCGACAGCAAATGACTTTTAGCAACAACAAATGGAGGGTCACAACAAAGGGCGTTGCTAAAATCTTTTAGCGATGGCATGGTACCGTCGCCTTTTTTTTGCGACGGCAAATGTGGCATTTTGTGACGGCATTTTACTATCGCCTATAATATGTAAAAAATTGAGACCTTTTGCGACGGCAATGTTGTACCGTTGCTAAAAGTTTTATTTGAGACAACAAAAAAAATGTTGTCGCAAAATGCTTTTTTATTGCGACAACATGACCTCTGTTGCCAATTTCTTTTACGACGGCATTACCTATGTTGCCAAAAAAATAGATTTTAGTTTTAATATTTTTTGCAACGGTGTGCTGCCGTTGAAAAAAAAAACTTGAAATAAAATTGTTAAAAATATTAAAATTACCTGTATTAAATGAAAAAAAAAACCAATAATTGTATAATATTATAAAAATTCCTGTATAGAAATAACAATTTCTCCATAATAAAAATATTCTTGTATTCATAACTTACACATCAACAAAATTACCCCAATACATAATGTTCCATAATACATATATAATGTTTAAATATATAATGTTGTTCACAATTCAAAATAACATAAACTAAAAACAAAAGTTTTCCTCATTATTCTCCGTGGTAACAAAAAGAAAAGTTAGTCACATTCTTCACAGGCATGAATTCCACAAGAAACAAACTTCTACTCGGAAAATATCTGAAAACAAAAAACAAAAATAATTAATGACAGTATAATTATGTGTTAATATGTTAGTTACAAAAAAAAACATAAAAATTTAACTACTATACAATTACAAAGATAATTAAGTAAATAATTTCGCCTAGACCGAAATTCGACTCTAACTCTCAAACCGAGAACCCGATTCGAGTCCTGTTTTCTCCCACAAGCCTCTCGTGCCAAGGCGGTTGTGTGTGCCAAGTTTCGTGCTAATCCGACGCCATTTGGTGATTTTGGGGCATCAACACCTCAAATTCTATGTTTCTTAAGAAACCAGTTTGCCTAAATCGAAATCCAACTCTAACCCCCAAACCGGGAACCCGATTCGAGTCCCGTCTTCTCCCACAAGTCTCTCGTGCCAAGGCGGTCGTGTGTGCCAAGTTTCGATGCCGTTTAGTGATTTTGTGGCGTCAACACCTTGAATTCTAAGTTTCTTAAAGAACTAGTTTGCCTAGACCGAAATCCGGCTCTAACTCCCAAACTGGGAACCTGATTCAAGTCCCGTTTTCTCCCACAAGTCTCTCATGCCTAGGTGGTTGTGTGTGCCAAGTTCCATGCTAATCCGACGTTGTTTGATGATTTTGGGGCATCAACACCTCGAATTCCAAGTTTTTTAAGGAACTACTTTGCCTAGACCGAAATCCGGCTCTAACTCCCAAACTAGGAACCCGATTCAAGTCCTGTCTTCTTCCACAAGTCTCTCGTGCCAAAGCAGTCGTGTGTACCAAGTTTCATGCTAATCCGTCACCGTTTGGTGATTTTGGAGCGTTAACACCTTGAATTTTATGTTTCTTAAGGAACTAGTTTACCCAGACTGAAATCCGGCTCTAACTCCCAAACTGGGAACTCGATTCGAGTCTCGTCTTCTCCCACAAATCTCTCGTGCCTAGGTGTTCGTGTGTGCCAAGTTTTGTGCTAATCCGACGTCGTTTGGTGATTTTGGAGCGTCAACACCTCGAATTCTAAGTTTCTTAAGGAATTAGTTTGCTTAGATCGAAATCCGACTCTAACTCCCAAACCAGGAAGCCGATTCGAGTCTCGTCTTCTCCTACAAGTCTCTCATGCCAGGGCGGTCGTGTGTGCCAAGTTTCATACTAATCCAATGCCGTTTGGTGATTTTGGGGCATCAACACCTCGAATTCTAACTTTTTTAAGGAACTAGTTTGCCTAAACTGAAATCCGGTTTTAACTCCCAAACCGGGAACCCCATTCGAGTCCCATCTTCTCCTGCAAGTCTCTCTTGCCTAGGTGGTTGTGTGTGCCAAGTTTCATGCTAATCCAACATCGTTTGGTGATTTTGGGGTGTCAACACCTCGAATTCTAAGTTTTTTGAGGAACTAGTTTGCTTAGACCGAAATCCGATTCTAACTCCCAAACCAGAAACCCGATTCGAGTCTCGTCTTCTCCCATAAGTCTCTCATGCCAAGGCGGTATCCGATGCTGTTTGGTGATTTTGGGGCGTCAACACCTCGAATTCTAAGTTTCTGAAGGAACTAGTTTGCCTAGACCGAAATCTGGCTCTAACTCCCAAACTAGGAACTCGATTCGAGTCATGTCTTCTCCAACAAGTCTCTTGTACTTAGGTGGTCGTGTGTGCCACGTTTCATGCTAATTCGACGTCGTTTGGTGATTTTGGGGCGTCAACACCTCGAATTCTAAGTTTCTTAAGGAACTAGTTTGCCTAGACCGAAATTCGGCTCTAACTCCCAAATCGGGAACCCGATTTGAGTCCCATCTTTTCCCACAAGTCTCTCGTGCCAAGGCAGTCGTATGTGTCAAGTTTCGTCCTAAGACCTTCAACAGGATGAGACTAAGTTGCTTAATATTACAGAATATACCTACAAAGTGTCTTACAATATTAGACTATAATATGCTTGAGCTTTATAACATAAAACTAAATTGTAAAGATAATTTTTTTAGGGACTTGATTTAATAAGAACCTATTATGAGGATATGTGTATTTGAATTTTGAATAAACATTCACTAGCTCATTGAATTGAGCTTAAAAGAATTATGACAATTAGAACAACCTTCCCAAATCAGCAGTTTCACGAAGATGAGGTTCAATACACCAAATTACCTTCTTCTAATGTAGGAAAAATTAGGAAACTTGGGACAAAGCTGCCTATACAGGTTCTATAATTAGTTTAGGACCTTCAAGAAGATGAGTACCTTTCATAGCTAAGACCTTCAAGAACAAGTGAGCCTAACTCCCAAAACTTGATTGGCTCCATATTAGTTACATAATATGCCTGCAAAACCAACATGATATTGTAAATTTGTCGATTAAAGCC